CGGTTGAAGTCAGACACGGCACTTCTCACGGACGTCATATGTCGTGCGGAGGTGGTCAGTGTATATGAACAAAATAATTGACTTCCAAGGGAGAATTTCGGTGTTCATATTACCGACGGACTTAAAATCTAATAATTCAGGCAAGTGCAGAGGTAACGATGATTTGCTTGTAAACTTACACGCAAAACCAATGGATAAATAAGAAAACGTTCGCCAAGCACTTTGGTACATTCGCAAACAAGATTGACTAGCCTTTCTGACATGTAAGTATACCAGGCATACAACTTTCTAAGCGCAGTTTTTTTGTGAAGTCTAAAGCCTGGAAGATCAAGACAAATCTAACATACAAAATGTGTACAAGTAAGCACGAACACCCGCTTCCATGGATCGTAATACTGGGAGTTGAAACTCTGGTCATTATTCTCGGAAATGTGGCTACAGTTATCGTGTTTTGGAAAAACAGATCCCAGCTGAAGCAAACTTGTTTATTCCTGATAAATCTAACAGTTGCCGATCTGATGGTTGGTATCGGCAACATTGAAAGTGTGGTCGTTGAAATACATAAAAGCTTCAAGACATCTTTGAGTTGTGAGACAGCTTGGGGAGACTACGTGGTTTCGGAGGAACTTTTTGGATGTGCATCCATTGGTTTCCTCGCTCTCATTTCTTTAGAGAGACTTTACGCGGTAGTATATCCTCTTCGCATCAGAACCACATCGACACGAAAATATATTTTTAGCGTTGGAGTAGTGTGGCTTCTATCGGGTACAGTAGCTGTGGCCCAGCTGTTAGGAACTGCTGCAACTTTGATAACCGAAGACATCTTTATTTGGTTTGTGACAATGTACTTGTTTGTCTGCTTAATAATTATCTCGTGTGCATATTCTGCAGTGTGGTTCTCGTCCAGAAAGGAAGACCCAAGATTGCCACCAAACAGATATAAACGAAACAAAGAACTGGTTAAGACTCTGTTTATTGTAACTTTGTTGTCGCTAATTGCTTGGCTACCCTTTACCGTGGTACATAATTTGCGGTTCACTTTGAAAGAGAATTTCGCCATTGGGCCAGTCTTCGATGATGTAACTCAAGTTCTTCAGTTGGCAAATTCTTTTATTAATCCAGTAGTATATTGCTTTAGGATGCCACTGTTCAGAAGAACCCTGAGAGGATTATTCACCAGGAAGAAAGCAACGAGGCTACACTTTCGTGAACACCAAACTTGCTCATAAACTCATACCGTCATTCCTCTCTGAAATTCGAATTTAAGTGAAGCTTTTTAAGCGCAGAAACGACTCCGTTATTTCATGTTTATAAATAAGGACGCAACGTATGTCTAAAGCATTAAAGCAGTAAAGCCCATCAGAAAGTACAAATATGAAACTATTAATGCAAAAGAACTAATTCTGAAGGGGTATTATAATTATTATCCGTTATCTAACCCTCGTTTTTTTTTTCTTTTTTTCTTTTTTTTTTTTTGTTTCTTACTATGAATTAGTCGTTACACTATTAGTCGGTTTATTTGTCATAACGGCGCTTTAGTCTTGCTAAATCTAGTCGTGTGATATCCATATCAGGTCTCTCTTTTTCGTTTTTCCTGTGTCTCTTTTGTTTAGTTTTCGTGTCATTGTCTTTTTTCGGTTTCTTTTTCTTCCTCCTCTTCTTCTTCTTCTTCTTCTTCTTCTTCTTCTTCTTCTTCTTCTTCTTCCTTTTCTTTTTTTAGCGCGACTAAACAATGAAGGCCGACTTATAAAAGGACTTGTCTTCTGTGTAACAATTCTTTGAAATGAAATATTTATGTCTAAAGTTAACT